AGACCATTACATTTGCTTTTTAAAATCTAAATAAGCTTTCAATTTTAGAATAGATTAACAGAAAAGTTACAAAAATAGTACAAAGAGTTTCCAAATACAAAACACCAAATTTCTCCTATTACTAATCTCTTACATTACTATTACTGTGGCACAGTGGTCACAACTAATGAACCAATGTTGATACATTATTATTAACTAAACTCTACATTTTATTCAGAACACATTAGTTTTTCTTTAATGTCCTATTTACATTAGAGAATCTCATATATCCTTATGTAGGATGTGTATACCCTCATGTAGGATATATTGTTAGATTTAGCCATCATGTCTCCTTGACCTCCTCTTAGCTGTGACAGTTTCTCAAACTTGCCTTTTTTAAATGACCTTGAAGTTTTGAGGAATACTGGTGTATTTTTTTTTTTTTTTTTTTTTGAGACAGAGTTTCGCTCTTGTTTCTGAGGCTGGAGTGCAATGGCGCGATCTCAGCTCACTGCAACCTCTGCCTCCTGGGTTCAGGCAATTCTCCTGCCTCAGCCTCCCGAGTAGCTGGGATTACAGGCACATGCCACCATGCCCAGCTAATTTTTGTATTTTTGGTAGAGACGGGGTTTCACCATGTTGACCAGAATGGTCTCAATCTCTTGACCTTATGATCCACCTGCCTCGGCCTCCCAGAGTGCTGGGATTACAGTCTTGAGCCACCGCATCCGGCCGAATACTGGTGTATTTTATAGAATATTGCTCAGTTTGGATTTGTCTGATGTTTTCCTCATGATTAGATTTGGGTTATGTGTTTTGGGGAGAAATGGGATTTGGTGAAGACCTAGAAAGTCTCTTCTCTACTGCACTCTACCATTCTGGTCCCCAAATATCCATTTCATTCATCCTCTCACTCATAGAACACAATGAGTCCCACCTCAAGAGAGGAAAACCAAAGTTTCAGGTAGTCACTGCAGGCAGCTCAAAGGCCAGGATTATGAGGTCATGCTTATTTTTCTCCATCGGGGCTAGATATGGCTTCTCAGTCTTGTGACCTAGGAATTTTTTGGTTATCTATTGTCACTTCCCTCACTCTCACATACCAATATTAAAAACACAATAGTGGAGCAGAGACTCAATGAACTTCCCAGGTAGAAGGGGAATGAATGAGAGACACACAGAAGTCAGTGGTCAGCATTCTGAGATCCAGCCATGCAGATGTGAAGGCCCTCCTCTGGTAGATCCTCATTTTACTCACTGGGAGAAACCCTCATCATGGTTTTCCATCCTCACCCCATCCTCAGCCCATCCCTCTGGAAGTCCTCCCTTTATTCTCCTTGGACCCCTTAAGAGAGTATCTTTCTTAGAAACTGCAAAACTTTCTCCACTTGCTTCCTGAAATGTAAGTTTAAGGGCCTAAAGTTAAGTTTATTAGACTTAAAATAAACTTAAATGTAAGTTACAGGGCCATTTTCTCAAATCCCCTCAAAAACGTGATGGGTTCTGATCTGTTTGTTTCCAGTTAGTTCAATGTACCAGTAACTACATCCAGTGTTCTTGTTTAGACATAATTCTCATGCTTAATTTATGTATTTATTTTTGCTTCCTTGTACCATGCCTCTTTAAACCTTAATGACAGTATTTTGTTTTGTTTTAGTTTGTTTTGTTTTGTTTTGAGATGGAGTCTTGCTCTGTCACTCAGGCTGGAGTGCAGTGGCGGGACCTCGGCTCACTGCAACTTCCACCTACCAGGTTCAAGCAATTATCTGCCTCAGCCTCCTGAGTGATTTTTGTATTTTTAGTAGAGACAGAGGTTTCACCATGTTGGCTAGGATGGTCCTTGACCTCCTGACCCCATGATCCACCTGCTTCAGACTCCCAAAGTGCTGGGATTACAGGTGTGAGCCACCTCGCCTGAACTATGACAGTTAAGTTGAAGCCATGAGGATTAATCTGATCTCAACCTCCTCAATCTTGTTTCCTTCTGATTGGGATTTACAGAGATTTTGCCAAATTCCTCTCCCAAAGTGTTGTAGCACATCACACCCTAACAAGGTATAAAACTGTCCAGTATCCTTCATCCTCACCAGCAATGGTACACAGCACAGTGGTTTAGAGTGTGGGCTCTAGAGCCAGACTGCTGCACATCGAATACTAATTCTATCATCCATTAACTGTTGGATTATGAACAACATTCAACTTACCTGTGCCTCACTTTCCACATGTGTACAAAGGAGATAAGATATTCTTATTGAAATGTTAAAAAGAATTATGGGTGATGAAACTGAGACCCAGAGAATTTGATTTTTTCAAGGTTACACCAATAAGGATTAAATGACCTAATACACATAAATACTTAGAACATGGCATATAAATTCTTACTGAATATGCGCTTTTATTTTTTGTTTTCTGAGGGATTGAAAAATGATACCTCATGATCACCGTATTTACATTTCCCCTGCATACTAATGGAGTTATGTGTTCTTTCATTTGGATTCGCTCCTCTGTGAATTGCTTTTTCATAACCTTTACTCATATTTTTTTCTCACCATGCAATCAGAATATTCTGTATCTTTATGGATATTAGCCCATTATCTCTCCTATACATGGCAGATGTTTTCTCTGTAGCACAATGGTGCAATCTTGTCTCACTGCAACCTCTGCCTCCCAGGTTCAAGTGATTCTCCTGCCTCAGCCCCCCAAGTCGCTGGGATTACATCATGCCCTGTTCTGTTTTTTTTTTTTTTTTTTTTTTTTTTTTTTTTTTTGGTCTGTAATAATTTTTACAAGAGTTTCTTTGGGTTTTTAATTTAAAAAAAAATAGAGACATGGTCTCACTATGTTGCCAAGGCTGGGATTATAGGCGTGAGACAACCCCCAGCCCATGCCCATCCCATCCTCATATTTTACACACACACACACAGTTTTAAAAACCATTCTTGGATACTTGATTTTCCATATAAACTTTCAGATATTTTAGCTAGTTTCCCTTTAAAAAAATGAATTCCGCTAAATTTCTATATAAATTTTAATAAGATTGGCATGTTAATGAAATTATCTTTTGTAATTGGGTTTTGTTTTTTTTGGTTTGGTTTTTTTTTGAGACAGATTCTCACTTTGTTGCCCAGGCTAGAGTGTAGTTTCATGAATACAGCTCACTGCAGCCTTGACTCCCTGGGCTCATGCGATTTTCCTGTCTCAGCCCCTCAAGTAGCTGGGACTACAGGTGCATGCCACTACATCCAGCTAATTTTTGTATCTTTTGTAGAGACAGGGTTTCACCATCTTGCCCAGGCTGGTCTCAAACTCCTGATCTCAAGCAATTCACCCACCTTGCCCCGCAAAGTGCTGGGATTACAGGTGTGAGCCACTGGACCTAGCCAAAATGGCCTTCATATCCTAATTGCCATGTCCCTCCATTTTACATTAATAAAACCTTTTCTATGACTCTTGCACTTTTAAGTTTATTGCCAAGTATCTTTTTAGTTGTATAATTAAAGTAGAAAGGGGATATGATTTCCATTTCCATTTCCATTTCTTTTTTTTTTTTTCTTTTTTGAGATGGAGTTTCGCTGTTGTTACCCAGACTGGAGTGCAATGGCACGATCTCGGCTCACCGCAACTTCTGCCTTCTGGGTTCAACCAATTCTCCTGCCTCAGCCTCCCGAGTAGCTGGGACTACAGGCGCGTACCACCATGTCCAGCTAATTTCTGTATTTTTAGTAGAGACAGGGTTTCACCCAAAGCATTCACCCAAAGCAATGCTAATTAACAGTGGTGATAAAAGGTAGTCTTGTGTTGTTTCTGATATACTGAATGTGTCAGCCTTTCACCATGCAGCATATTGGCTGTTGGTTTTGAAAATTTGTCTTTATTAACTTTGTAATTTCTCTCTACTTTCATGTCACTAATCCACTTGGTTTTTATTCAGAACAGCTATTGATTTTTATCAAATGACTTTTTGGCATAGATTCCCTTCTTTAAGTGATTGAAGTAGTGAATTACATTGATAGGTTCGCTTATGTTATAGTTTTATCAGGCTGTATTTTCTCTTACTATAACTACTGAATTTTATCCGTTTATATCTAGGATATTTGCATCTATATTCATCTGTGAGATGTATATAGTTTTATTGTGCTATCTTATTAAACATTTGCTGAAAGGGGAAAGTGGAATCAAAAGAGAATTTTGTTTTTCCATGGGGATTTTTTTAAATGCTATTGTTAAGACAGAATAGAGCATGCTAAATGCTGATGAAAGAGTCCACTGGAGGCCAGGTGCAGTGGCTCACGCTTGCAATCCTAGCACTTTAGGAGGCTGAGGCGGGTGGATCGCTTGAGCTCAGGAATTCAAGACCAGCTTGGCAACATTGCGAAAACCCATCTCTACAAAAAATACAAAAATTAGGCAGGCGTGATGGTTCATGAGGGGCCAAAGTGGGAGGTAACCTGGGAGGTTGAGGATGCAGTGAGCCACGATTGTACCACTGGCACTTCAGCCTGGGTGACAATGTGAGATCCAGTCTCAAAAAAAAGGAAAAAAAAGAAAGCATCCAGTGGATAACTTGAAGATGAAGGAGAAAGGATCAATTGTAATGTGAAATTTCAGACAAGGTGAAACAGATCCAGAGAACAAATAGGTTATAAAAGGGATGCCTGAATTGTGATTGAATATAAGGGATTCCAATCACTAGATCTAGAAGTTTAGTAGCTAAAAGTTCAGGGAGTTCCCATCTAATGACTTCTATTTTCTCTATTGTAATACTACTTATACTCACCAATATTTTTGTTTATTTATGAGTTTATATAAACCTATTTTCAGAGAACAAATGTTGCCATTAATAGAGACATTTCTTCATGTTATACAGTTATCTATTTTTCAGGACATTTACAAAATTCTACAAAGACTTAAAAAAAAATTTCACTCTCTCATTTCCAGCACTCAGCCTCACAGGCAAACAGAAATCCATGAATCCTTAATATAAAAATCAGACACAAAATATTGCTGTCATAGAAAAATGATTAATTAAGCAGAAATTTTATTTCCAAGCTCTTCAAAGACTGTTACAAACATAAATAATGTATCCTTCTAAAAAAAAAAAAAAGTGTCCCAAATTAAAGGCACATCATCAAAGTAAAACATTTGTGACATTAAGAATTCTTTTAGGTTGTAATATTTTCATGTTAGTTTTTAACCATTTACAATGTTCTGTGGGTCACATTTTAAACATTTTTAAACATATGAAATCCTGTATTTCTGTAAGTACAGCCACAACTACAAAGCAGAGGAACTTGAGAATACAAAGATCAAATCTGCTTCATTTGTATACACAATGGGACAGCCTAATGCACATCACAACATTAACTTTTCCAAACAAGTCTGCTAAGAAACTGCTGCCATATTTAGTGTTAAAAATAAAACAAACTTCCCATTTAGAAAAATCAAGACATCAGTTGATTAGTAAAACCTATTCTTCCCCCTCCAGCAATTCATATTTGTCTTCATTTAGGAATTGTAAATTCATGAGAAGAGAACAATTCTTTTATGGTATAAAAACCTACCAGGAACAAATTACAAGTATTCAATTTTTTAAATAAACAAAAATATTCTCCTTCCTAAAATGTAAACATCCAGTAAATAAAACATACATGATATTCCAGGTATAGAAACATTAGCAACTCACTTATGAAAGAGGTGCGTTTTGGTATATTTGGTGGTAAGGTTTTTGTCTTATGTATAAAAGTACTTCCACAGAAAACCAGGCTATCACTCTTTAAAACTCTATTCTTTCACCCAGTTTCCTTACTTGAGTAGAAATTCACGAATTTCTGAGATTTTGGCTACAGGCCCATGCCCCAGGAAAGGGCTGAAATATCTCTTAAAGCCACTTGGCTAGGGAAAAGTGTTTTCTTGAGACTTGAAGGCAGTCATTCATCACTTTGTGCTTGAAGGCACTCCTCAGGGAACTTCTCTCCCACTGGAAAAAGAGTTTGTTTGGTTTTTACTTTAGTAAGATTTATTTATAAAATTAACTCATCATCATTTCATAGGCACTTTAGCATTCACAAAATAGAAAGTAACAGGTGACCCAGGTGCAGTGGTTCACGCCTGTAATCCCAGCACTTTGGGAGGCCCAGGCTGGTGGATCACCTGAGGTTGGGAGTTCAAACCAGTCTGACCAACACAGAAAAGCCCTGTCTCTACTAAAAATACACAAAAATTAGCCAGGCATGATGGTGAGTACCTATAATCCCAGCTACTCGGGAGGCTGGGGCAGGAGAATCGCTTGAACCCAGGATGCGGAGGTGGTGGTGAGCCGAGATTACGTCATTGCACTATAGCCTGGGCAACAAGTGCAAAACTCTGTCTCAAAAAAAAGAAAGAGTTGAATACAAAAAACATCTAAACCACACCACTGAATAAGCAGCACCCATGAAAGTGCTTTGTATGTAAGGCCAGTCACAGTGGCTCATGCCTGTAATCCAAGCACTTTGGGAGGCCAAAGTAGGCAGATCACCTGAGGTCAGGAGTTTGAGACCAGCCTGAGCAACATGGTGAAATCTTATCTCTGCTAAAAATACAAATTAGCCAGTCATGGTGGCAAGCACCGGCAGTCCCAGCTACTCAGGAGGCTGAGGCAGGAGAATTGCTTGAACTCAGGAGACGGAGGTTGCAGTGAGCCAAGATTGTGCCATTGCACTCTAGCCTGGGTGACAGAGGGAGACTCTGTCGAAAGAAAGAAAGAAAAAGAAGAAAGAAAGGAAGAAAGGGAAGGAGGAAAGGAGGGAAGAAAGGAGAGAGTTTTGTAAAATGAAAAATGCCATGCCAACATAAAACTATTAACACCATAAATATGAACATTTTCCATTAAAAAGTACAATAGGATTTGATAGATTGCTTCCTTCTTTTAAATGTGAACAATCTCCTTTTGCTACTTGTGAAGAAGGACCTCAGATAATTACTTACTGTATAAACACCCCTTAGAACACATCATTTGAAATATGTTGGTCCCAAAAGACTCTAATAATTCAGGCCCTTGTCCTCTTTAAAAAAATACTGTGTCACACCTGTAATCCCAGCACTTTGGGAGACCGAGGCAGACAGATCAGGAGGACAGGAGTTTGAAACCAGCTAGTTTGAGACCAGCCTGGCCAATATGGTGAAACCCCATCTCTAATAAAAATACAAAACAATTAGATGGGTATGGAGGTGCGCACCTGTAATCCCAGCTACTAGGGAGGCTGAGGCAGGAGAATTGCTTGAACCTGGGAGGCAGAGGTTGCAGTGAGCCAAGATCATGCCACTGCACTCCAGCCTGGGTGATAGAGCAAAACTCCATCCTGGGGGGAGGAAATTGTGAAAATGACCTCAATACAAAGCAATCAAACCCATGGGATTTCTAAAATGCCACCAGAAAGGTGTTTTCCTTTATCAATTTACCCCCTCACACTTTCTCCCAGTAGCTACATTTCTTCCTCCATTAAAACACAGAGATATATTCTGAAAACCATTAGGAAAGAAATCATGGCAGGTGGTAGGCACACATCTCCCTCTCTGGGGAGTCCTTAGTCCCAAGGTCAGTTGATAGGACCAAGCAGCAAATCACAACCCTGGGATGCTGGAAGGACTGAGGGTGGACTTAAGGTTAAGAAATTACTGGCCAGGTGCTGTGGCTCATGCCTGTAATCCCAGCACTTTGGGAGGCCAAGGCAGGTAGATCATCTGAGGTCAGGAGCTTGAGACCAGTCTGACTAATGTGGTGAAACCCCATCTCTACTAAAAATACAAAAATTAGCCAGGCGTGGTGGCATGCACCTGTAGTCCCAGCTACCTGGGAGGCTGAGACAGTAGAATGGCTTGAACCTGAGAGGTGGAGGTTGCAGTGAGCCAAGACCATGCCACTGCACTCCAGCCTGGGTGATGGAGCAAGACACTGTGTCTCCAAAAAAAAAAAAAAAAAGAATTTACTACCAGCCAACTCAGTTAAAGAGCTCAAGTACAGAAGGATACTGGAATCTCATGAGTTAGTGCCAAAGAAACTTCAGACTCTCCTAAATGGATGTATTCTACAGGCAACGTAACTATTCACAAGAATCACCCTCAGGGAAAGTTGTGCATTTTGCTGGCTTTTATTTTAATTCCCCCAAGAATAGTAGACATTCGAAACTCAGTTGCTCAAATCTTTTGGGAAGCCCTGTGATCATGCTATGGCCCCAAGACATCATGGTATATCATTACTCACGAGTCTTCAGAGTAAAGCACAGGATCTGGGCTCACGGAACGGGTTACTTCCAGCTGGAACACCCACAAGCAGGGCATCCTTGCAGGCGTTCTGCATACAGTACTGCTGAAGCTCTGCAGCTGCCTGAGACACCTGAAACAAAGGGACAGCGTCATGGCATGCTGCTCACGGCCGAGCCATCTGGCAGCCAAGGATATTCTGAAAATGATCATCCAACCTGGTAAATATCAACTTTTTGTGACCTCCAAAAGTCTCTTTCTGCTGAAAGTTCTAATACTTGAACTACACAGAGGAAAGGTTACAATTTCTATGAACTTAAATTTAGGTATTTTTGGGTTTAGTTGCTTATAACAACAAAGCCAAGAAAAAGCTGTGTTTTTTATTCATTTAGAAATGTAGTTTTGAAACTGAATGGGTAAAGAAATAGCTCATTCTAGCATTCCCTTGACAAATTTTCACTTATATAAAGCATGCATTGATATATCCAAGTTTGCCAAATGAGTGAATTGTCGTAATATTTACAAATCTGAAGCCTTATTCAGTCTGCTCCAAACAAGTGATGAAGTTCTTCCGCCCTGCTTTTAAGGCAGTGTAGCTTACTGTTCAGGAATATATAGTCAGGAATGCCTGGACTCAAATTCAGCCGTCACTACCTATATAACCTTCGGCAAGTTACTCAACATCTCAGTAGCTGTTTTGTCATCTATGAAATATTTAGAAATAGAAACCAACCACACTGGGTTGCTGCAACAATTGAGTTCACACATGTAAAGCCCTTAAAATGGTGCAGACATATGTCAATACATTTGTGGTAGACCGCAAATGTGATCACAATAGTTTTCAGCTCCTTCCACCAAGAGGTAGAGTCAGTCTATTGACCCACCCCTTGAATCTGGGCTGACTTTAACCAGGAGAATATTGCAGAAATAAAGGGCAAATTCCAAGCTAGTCCTCAAGAATCTGCATCTACCTCTCTTGGTGCAGATGGAACTGTAAGACAACCATCTGAGCCTCAGCTAGCCTCCTGGAGGGTCTTGTGGTGGAGAACTGGTGAGCCAGAACCAGCCACCTGTCTATCAACCTGCAGACATGTGAGTGAGGCCATTCTCAAACACCCAGATACCGGCCAACACCAGCTGACACCCTATCTGATTGAAGATCTATGGGAGAGCCCAGAAGATCAGCAGAACTGTACAGTTTAACCTAGTTCAAACCGTCCATCTAAGAACTGAGCATAAATGTTTTAAGCCATTACATTTTGGGGTGATCTGTTAGGCAGCAAAAACTAACTGATTCAATATTATTATGCCTATTCTTATCTTGCATTTGATGCCTATTTCTACTTGGAGACTTTTCTCATTGTACTTTTTGTGCGTGTGCATTAAAAGGTGTTTTTAGCCGGGTGTAGTGGTACACGCCTGTAATCCCAGCTCCTCGGGAGGCTGAGGCAGGAGAATCGCTTGAACCCAGGAGGCAGAGGTTGCAGTGAGCTGACATCGTGCCACTGCACTCCAGTATGGGAGACAGAGCAAGACTCAGTCTCAAAAAAAGAAAAAAAGGTGTTTTGAATAAAATTCACTCATATTGTACAAAAATGGTTCCAATTGGTGTTCAGGTATTACTACTAGTTTGTGTTAATTTTCCAAGCCTCCAAATAACTAGAAAATGAACTGTTTCTGTTACAGTTGCTACCAAGTTTCTGGACAGCTCTAGGAATTTTGGTTGCATTAATGTAATGACAGTTTTCTCCGTATTATATAAACACAAAATATAATATTGCCAGACTAACGCTGAAGTTTACTTTTCTCTCAATAGAAGTTCTCACATTTTCATGTTAATAATAATTGGAATTAGGGAAGATGGAGGAAAAAAATAATAATAATTGGAATTGTTATATATAACAGTTACTAATTCAAAAGAAATTGAGAATCAATTATGTTCAGGCTTGCTATCTTTGCATTGGGGCAACAGGTAAACTCACACATGGTAGGTAGAAGGACACTATCTTCCAGGACCCATGGAGAAATGAGACTAACTGAACTCTAGACTAAAGAACATGGTCGGCCAGGCACAGTGGCTCACGCCTGTAATCCCAGCACTTTGGGAGGCCAAGGTGGGAGGATCACCCGAGGTCAGGAGTTCGAGACCAGACTGGCCAACATGGTGAAACCCCGTCTCTACTAAAAATACAAAAAAAAAAAAAAAAAGTTAGCCAGGCATGGTGGCAGGTGCCTGTAATCACAGTTATTCAGGAGGCTGAAGCAGGAGAATCCTGCTTGAACCCGGGAGGGAGAGATTGCAGTGAGCTGAGATTTCGCCATTGTACTCCAATCTGGGCAATAAGAGCAAAACTCTATCTCAAAAAAAAAAAAATATATGTATATATAGCTACTTGGCAGGTAGGTAGGCATTTGACTGGCTCAGAGTTTTCCTTTCCACCTCAGGTCCCCACATTGTCTTTGTGAATTTCCAACAACCCTGGTTTCAGTTCCCTGATTTCCACTCCTCAAACAGCCTTCTCCTCAATGCCAACAGATACAGCTACAACACCTGTAACTGCTCCACTTCTGAAATTTTACACCTCAGTCTCCTACTCTCTGATCACAATCTCTCCTTCCCATCCAGGGTGCTGCCTCCTTTATTCTTCCTTCATTCTACTCTGACTTCACCCAGATCTCCAGGCGTCACCTCCTCCCCTTCTGTTTCACCCATCACCAGGAGGCTGGCTCCATTCCTTCTCTATCCACCTAGGCTCAGCCTCTTTCTGGCCAGACCTTGACACGCCTTGCCCTCTGGCCCCATCTCCACCTTTCTGACATACCTCTCCTGCTAACTCAGTCCTCCATCAACTGCCGTTCACCTTCGGCACTCACATTCCAGGATGGCCAGAGGTTGCTGGAGTCTCTTTTGAGAAAAGTGACCAGCAAATATGACCAGCAGTCACTCTTCTCACAGCAGCTTGGTCTTCAGAGTCACAGTGCATCTACCTGCCTGCTTAGGGCCACTCCCTTAGTCCCATTTCCTCTGCCTTAGAAGAAAACGTGGCCTCCTATTTCACAAAGAAAATTGTCACAAGTCCTTAAGCCCATATCCAGAAACATATCTTTATACACATCTTTACCTTCTTTATTCCTGTCTCAGAAGCTGCGCCACCAATCCCCCGCCTCCGGTAGCCCTGTCTCCTCTACCAGCAATTGGCTTCCATTTGTTTTTTCACTGGAACCAAAAATATAATTTGTTCCTTCCTCTCAACCCCAAAACATGGCTTTTCATTTCCTAAGTTAAAAAACCAGGTTATTTCCTCTTTAAAACTAGGTTTCTTTAAAAAGAAGAAGAAAAAAGTCCGCCTGCCCTGTGACAGTCCAGATTCTGCTTTTACTAACACATAAGCCACCAAACCTCTGCGTTCTACGCCCTCTCTCCCTTACCCTGTTTATAATCTTCACTCCACTTAGTATGTGAAGCGATGCTATGTATCCGTTAATTTGCTGTTTACCTTCCCCTCCAGAACCACCCTATTCCCTGTAGCAGCGCCAGGCACACAGCAAAGGCGCCGCTGAGGCACAGGGACTACCTCCCTGTTTCTTCCTCCAGACCTTCTGCAAATTATGCTGCACTCGTTGCTAAACACAGCTCTGCAACAGACGACTTTTGGCCCACTAACCAACGCTGGACATGTTGACTGAGCCCCCAGTTTTTGGAAATTTCCCCTTCCTTGCTCAGAAACCTTGCTGTTTCTTACTTCCTCTTCTCTCGGCCATCGGTGTGGCTGGTCCCTGGGTTCCAGGCTCTGAGCTCTGCTCTTCATAGAAGAGGCTTTTTCGCCTCCCTGCACTTGAATGATCTCTTTCAGCCCTGGGCGCTGTTTCAGGCCATGAGGACAAATCCCTCCCGGTGGTTCCCCGGAGTCCCCAGGTACGCAGCCGAACTCATCCTGTCCCGGAACCCGCTCTCTCTCCTCTCTACCTTGGCGGGTGGCAGCGCCGTCGACCCCGTCACGGTGACAGAAACCTGAGCATTCTGGCTCTCCTCCCTCTCGCTCTCATCCTACCAATCCATCACCAAGTCGCGGCCCTGCGGTGGCCTCCCCAGCCCTGGGTCCCTCCTCCCCGCCCGCGAGTCGCCGGCCGCCCGGGGCGCCCTCGGAGGAGCTGACCGCTGCCGCCTCTGGAGTGGGCGTGGGCGCGCCCCCGGGGACCCGGCCCGGACCACGACCGCGCGGCCTCCTCCCGTAGGGCCCGGCCCCGGTTCGCCCCGCGCCTCCCCTCCCCGCGGCGCCCGCCGCCCCCCGGCCCCAGCCGAGGCCTCGCCGCCGCCCCCGAGTCACCCAGCTGGCGCCCGGCCCGGGCTCCCGGCCTCCTCCTCTCACCGCCCCGCGGGCGGAGGCACCGGAGCGTGGGTCCCCGGAGCCAGCACCTTGATCCTCTCCACGGCGGCCTCCAGCTTGAGCTGCTCCACAAGGCGCTGCAGGGCGTTCGCGCTGGCACCAGAAGACATGGCGGCGGCGCTGAGCTCCGAGGGCGGCTGGGCCCTGCCGGGAGGGGAGGAGCCACCAGCCTCGCGCGAGGGCACCGCCCCGGGGCGGGGAAGCCTCTGTGCCCGCCCAGCCACGCCAGCACACTCGGCGCGGAGCCGCAGGCCAGAGACTGCGGGGCCCGAGCGGGCAGGCCTTCCTCTCTGCTCCTCAGCGCTCGAAACCTGGGTGGCATCTGCAGCCGGACCGAGAACCGAGTCGGGGACCCGCAGAGCGGGGCGTCCTCCAGCGAAGCTGGCGCCCCTAGCGTGAGCAGGAATCGCGAGGGCGTGGGACGCGAGGATGGAGTGGGCGGCAGCAAACACGCACCCCTGAGAAATCAGAACTGGAGCCAAGGTATGACGGGAGTTGGAGAAATAAGGGGCCTTGCCAGACAGTATCCTCGGGGAACCAAGGACGGTTCATAGGATTTTCATGGGGCAGCAATCGATGTCTAAGTGAGCCTGTTACTGTTTTACGGAGATCTTACCAGTTCATTGGGTGGAGTGAGAATGTTAAGTTGGGTGAAATCCCAGACCCCGACATCTCTGTGAAACGTACAGTACAAAATTACATTCAGCGTCTTTCACTCACCTAGTGGGTGCTGAGAGGCACCACCCAAATTCTCCATTCAAAACTGAGACACTCATACCCTCAACTGCTGGGAGCGGTGGCACTGATGCCTCTCAGCTGAGTCCTCTCTGTGAACTGCCCTTATCCAGAGAGCCACCCATACCAAGGTCATACCCCTCCCAGTGTCAGCCCTCATCCAGTGACTGATGTGGGGTGTTTACGTAAGGGCTGAACCCTAACCTTTTGCCTTAAGTTGGGACAGCATTGAAGGATTATTCTAGCTCCAGAGCTCTTGCTAGAGTAATCTGAGGCCTTTATGGCAGTTCATCACAGGTCAACTCCTCCCTCTGTCCAATCACCACTTCCTGGACTCCCCAACAAGTGTTGGTTTCAAGGATATTCCCCATAAACTTTCTGCATGAAAATTTCCATCTCAGGGTCTGTTTTTCTAGGGAACCCAAACTAAAACACCCATTCAAACAACCTGGACTGGTTGGGGTGTGGAGGAAGAATGGATCCCCAAAGGAGAATTAGGATGCTGATATAAGAAAGAGGCATGGGCCAATTTAAAAAAAGCAAGCCGGCTGGGCGCAGTGGCTCACGCCTGTAATCCCAGCACTTTGGGAGGCCGAGGCTGGTGGATCACGAAGTCAAGAGATTGAGACTATCCTGGTCAAAAAGGTGAAACCCCGTCTCTACTAAAATTACAAAAATTAGCTGGGCATGGTGGTGCGCACCTGTAATCCCAGCTACTCGGGAGGCTGAGGCAGGAAAATTGCTTGAACCCAGGAGGCAGAGGTTGCAGTGAGCCGAGATCGCGCCATTGCACTCCAGCCTGGGTAACGAGCGAAACTCCGTCTCAAAACAAAAACAAAAACAAAAAGCCATACAGCTATTAATTTTAATGACCACATGGCATTGCATTGTACAAGTGGATCACAAGTTATTTACCTACTGTATTAGTTTTTACATTGCTATAAAGAAATACCCAAGACTGGGTAATTTATAAAGAAAAGAGGTTTAATTGACTCACAGTTCCACATGGCTGGGGAGGCCTCAGGAAACTTACAATCATGACAGAAGGGGAAGCAAGCACTCTTATATGGTGGCAGGTTAGAGGGAGAGAGGCGGGGGGTGGGAACCATCACTTATAAAACCATCAGATCTTGTGAGAACTCCCTCACTGTCATGAGAACAGCATGCGGGAAACACCCTTATGATCCAATCAGCTCCCACCAAGTCCCTCCCTTGACACATGGGAATTACAGTTTGAGATGAGATTTGGGTGAGGACACAGAGCCGAACCATATCATCTACTATCCTATTCTTTAACACCTTGATGAACACCTTTAACAGTGTTCATGTGTGTGTTGTATTGCCTTAGGATGCATCCCTGAAAGTGGAATTCATGGGTCAAAGCATATTAACTTTTTAAAGCTTTTTCCTACTATATCCTCCAGAAGGTGGTAGCAACTGATTTTCCTTCTGGAAGGCTGAGACTGCCTATTTCTCTGTACCCTCACAACTCCTATTGTGGTTCTTTAATAGATGAAGAATGGTATCTTAAGTCTTCTAAATGTCTTAACTATTGACGCTGAACATTTCTGCTATTCATTCTGTGAGCTATGTGCCCATGGCTTGGGGGGACATTAAAGAGTTTTTCTTAGCTCATGACGAGATTTGCACATTTGAAACCCCTGTCTAGTGGCCAGTTTCTTCACCACAAAGAACTTAATATATATATTTAGTAAAGAGATGAAAGTACATGTTGGGAACATTCAACCATCAATTCTTAGATTGATGAATAAGAAAATAGAATGATTTCATATTTATTTAGATATTTTAAAGAGATGGCAAAGAACTCTGTACAAAGATATACATACTGTATTAGGAAAGGCTCGTCACAGATTGTGAGAGCTGGACCTTGGAGATGTGTCTTGCAGATGGCTGAGAAGAAAAGGAAGAAAATTGCAGTATGGAGGAGAGCTGGAGGCAATGCTCACATGTAGAGTGAATAAATTTTAAAATAGAGGAGGCGCTAGTGAATGATAGTAGATACAAACTTGCTAGGGTCAGAAGTCATAGAAAACCTCACACACACACACACACACAAAAGTTTCTGGTGACAGTGGGATAGCCACAAGGTAAGACACTTGGGGAATATTAATCTGAGATGAATGTGCAAAATGAACTGAAGTTGAGAAGACAAGATAGCTGTTGGTGGAGGAGTAGCTGGAATGAGGCCCTGGGTAGGACTGTTAGAGTAGGAATGAGGAGGAACAAATTGAGAAGACTAAATCAGTGGTACTTCATGCCGGTTACAAAATGCAAAGAAAAGAGGACGAAGGGTTCTGAAGTGGAGAGTAGACCAGAACTAACTCCACAACAGAAATAAGGAAACAAGACTTGGCTTGAGATGAGTAAAAAATAATGTAGGGTTTGGTTTGGGAGTAACTAAGTGTCTTCCATGGCACTGCTACATGCCTCTAGGCTGCTGAAAATGTTTAGTAGCCAAGATGTGAGAGATGTTTCCACAGCAACGACAGCTGAGTAATGAGATTACCTCAAAATCATTAGAAACGAAGGCTTTGGCTGGCGCAGTGGCTCACGCCTGTAATCCCAACACTTTGGGAGGCCGAGGCAGGCAGATCACCTGAGGTCAGAAGTTCGAGACCAGCCTGGCCAACATGGCGAAACCCCGTCTCTACTAAAAATACAAAACTTTACTGGGCATGATGACGCACGTCTGTAATCCCAGCTACTCAGGAGGCTGAGACAAGAGAATCACTCGAACCCAGGGGACGGAGGTTGCAGTGAGCCGAGATCGCGCCTGTGCGACAGAGCGAGACTCCATCTCAAAAAAAAAAAGAGAGAGAGAAAAGAAACGAAGGTTTTGGAGTTCCCCTCAGTGCAGAACACACGTCAGCCATGTCATATTGTGTACGTCAGCCACAAGGTAGCAGGAAAAGTCTAGGGGTGTGCCCTGCCTGCCTCCTTCATGCTGGACACACCCACTGCCCCGCCCACCTCGGTGTTACTTTGCGCTGTTCAAGAGGAATGGTCTGTGATCCATGGGTAAGTAGGCCGGGTTCCCTTGTACTTGTGGAAGGCTGACCATCTGTGTGATGCTCTAGACTTACCCCAGAAGACTTCCCATTCATTATTTTTGCATCATGGAATTTCAGAGTTGAAGGGAACCCTCAGATTGTGTGCCCCATCTACAATTTTAGAGATGAAGAAACAGACCCGCTAAGGAAAGTGAAGTGACTTGGCTAGTATCACAGGAAGTGGGAGCAGGGAAAAGAACTTTCATTTTTAGCTTTCAAGAGAACTCAGGCCAGACGCGGTGGCTCACGCCTGTAATCCCAGAACTTTTGGAGGCCGAGGCGGGTGGATCATTTGAGTTCAGGAGTTCAAGACCAGTCTGGCCAACATAGTGAAAACCCGGCTCTACTCAAAATACGAAAATTAGCCAGGCATAGTGGCAGTTGTCTGTAGTCCCAGCTACTTGGGAGGCTGAGGCACAAGAATCGCATGAACCCAGGTGGAGATTACAGTGAGCTGAGACTGTGCCACTGCACTCCGGTCTGGGCGACAGAGCAAGACTCCATCTCAAAAAAAAAAAAAAATTCGTGGCTCACCTAGAGGACCAGAGGCCTTTCTTTCTCACATGTGCTGTGATTTCCAGGGCTCTGAAAGGTGAGGGATGGAGACAGTACCCTTCTTTCCTTCTCGCCGTAGCTGACATGCATAGGTCACCAGTATAACATTTTTAAAATTATGTTACACATTTTTTTCCTTGGTTAAGCACAAACTTGTAAATCTCATTTTCAAGAAACTTTCTAGAAATGTCAATATCCTTGTAATGACAAATGTTTCATTTATTTCCCTGTTAGGATCTACAGTTCTTCACTCCTCTGACTTGCATTTTATCACCTTCCTACTAACAGTGGGTTATTCTTCCAGGAAAAGGGCTGTGAGTCACTCTTTTCCATAAAAATGACATAACGGGAAGATATTTCTGTCAACATTATATCAAAATGACAATAATATATACCATGTATAGTTTGCAAAATGATTGTGTAGGAAAACACATTAACAAATATATTTGACACAGTATCATGTACCATAAAAATTATTTTACTACCCTTGTCTATTATTTGAAGAACCTAGAAATAATCAGGAGCTGAAAGAATCACCAGCAGGTTTGTAGATTCAGAATGGCTTTTCTGGAGAGGTTTTCACAGGCACTTTTGAGACTGTGGGAGGTGGCAGAACTTAAGGCTATTAGATGTCTTTTTGAGCAGCCATTCTAAGCATATCTGTTTGCTACATTGAAAATGTCCCTTCACTAAATATAGGCTGAGACTAGCAAGTTGCTCATCATTCTGTCATCTCTGAAAGTTTATCTTTCTTTCTTGAATCATCATCTCAGCTGCTCTACATTGCACACTGGTGGCACAGGGCAGGCAGCTGCTTTTTAAAATACACAATTCCAACCCTAAGGAGCATCACTTTTTCACTATAGAGCTGTACCTTGCACAAGGGAAGAAATTCAAATATGTATTAAAAGAATAAACAATGGGTTTGTAATCATCACATCTATTACCATGGATTTTTTTTTTTTTTTTTTTTTTTTTTTAGTTTTGCTCTTGTTACCCAGGCTGGAGTGCAATGGCACGATCTCGGCTCACCATAACCTCCGCCTCCTGGGTTCAGGCAATTCTCCTGCCTCAGCCTCCTGAGCAGCTGGGATTACAGGCACATGCCACCATGCCCAGCTAAT